TCCACACAGAGACATGCTGTGAGACTGGATTCCAAAGACTTGGTATGAGGGGAAAAAAAGTAAAATATTAATATTTTTGTATTGATTATAAATTGAAATGATACTATTTGATATGATGGGTTAAATAAAATTATTAAAATTATTTTCACCTGTTTATTTTTACTTTAACATGACGACTAGAAACTTAATTGGCTCTTGTTATATTTCTATTGGACAGCGCTGGTCTACTGTCCTTATTACAACAAAGAAACTGAAGCTTGAAGAGATAAAGGTGTTGCCAGGACCAGAACCCAGGCGTCCTCACAACTAAGGAGCCTCGAGACAGGGAGGAGGTAAGAGTAAGGACCACAAGGGTCCTGAGCACGGAGACAGCGGCAGTGCTGATGCCCAGCCCACAGCCCTAGGCCAGCACCTGGACACAGGGCAGGTGCTCAGCGTCCACCTCTCTCCTTCTGGATCAGCGCTCTTCCTACCGCACCCACCTTATAGTTACTCCCTGTGACCACGGGACTGGCCAAGGCCACGGAGAGCCAGCTGGGGGTGGTGGTCCTAATGCCCACCCCTTCACCTCACAAGCACAGGTCAGGATGGACAGGGTGTGTTTGGGGGTAAGGAGTAGACAGCCAGGCGAGGTGGAGGACTCATAAGGGCTAAGGTAAGAGAAGCTCATGGCAACACGATGGGGTGGGAGCAGTTCAAGATTCACAGATATTTTCTTCTCAAAATATGTCTACAGGGACCTAATACGGAGACAGATATGGAACTTTTTGTGCTCATCCAATTGAAGATAAGATTTGAAAAAACTAGAAAATAAGGCAGAACGGTAAACAAGTATTGAAAAGGAGAGGTATGGGATAAGGGGGACCTCAGACGGGTAAGACCAGAAGCCTCTGAGAAGGGTCCCAAGCTGAATTAAAATAGAGCTTGGTAAGGAAGGAGTAGCATTAATTTGTTCAAATACTTGAGTCAGGAATAAACAGAGGGTCAGAAAGGAACAGGTCCTGAGAAGGAGCTCAGCTTGTAGAGGGAAGGGCAGTTCCTGAGAGGACGGGGTGGGGTCCGAGGTGCAGGGGACGCAGAACTGGCCGGAGGCAGGGACAGGAGCTCCGCCACTGCTCTCGGCGAGCGGCTGTCTGTGGGGCCCAAAGCCAGGTCAGTGATGGCAGTGGGAAACAAAAAATTAAAAAGCGAAATAATCAGCAGAACTAGCAAGCGAGTGACGGTGGAGAGAGAAAGGCTGAGTGAGCGGGTGAGGCTGGTGCTGCGCGGATGGGCAGGATGGGAAGCGCGTGAAGGGAGCAGGTCAGGAGTGCAGCCTGAGGAGTTTCAGCTGTTGGCCAATTAGCAGCCACTGCCCCTCAGCTCCAATCTTACACCATTGAGGCCTCCACTAAAAAAAGGCCCAGAAAATGCCCTGCATTTGAGGCTCAGAGTTTTTGATCCAAAAAGCTCCAGCACCTTGGCCCACCAGGACGACGCCCACTTCAAGTATGCCTCCCTCTTTGAGCGGAATGGCAGTGGAGTGCCAGCAGAGCACTGTATCCAGTGAAGAGGAGCCCCTTCTGTGTGCCAGGCCCTGCTCCAGGCGCTGGGGAGTCAGGCTGAGCACAGATCCCTGCCTTCCTGGGGCTCACATGCCAGTGGCTAAGACAAACGAGCAAAAACTGAGCACTCCAGTAGGCTGTCAAGCTGACCCAGCTCCTCTTGTATCCAGAGCACTTCCACAGACCTTTCCACATACCATTCCCTTGGCCTCCCCAGCACCTGGCACAAACTACTGCCTAGGAAGCACTTAACTACTTACTGACTCAATCACTGTTATCCATGAAATAAACACTTTACGCAGTTTAGTGACCAAGACTCCAAAGGGCTCTGAGACTAAAAAACATCCTACATTGCTTAGCATCAGCAATTATTTCTTCATACTATTAGTTTTTTCCTGTTGTTCCAAAAAGTTCTGCAAACAGTTCTAGAACAGGCTACAGGGGTCAGCTGTGCAAAATCCATTAATTCTAAACAATTCAGAAGGCTTCCTTATACAGTTGAGTTATACAAAGATGCTTCCTCTAAACCATTTAAATCTCATATATAAGCTTCCTTATAATGCATGTAGGGAAAAGATAAAAGAGTCTGAGACCAGAAGTCCTGGAAGCATCACAAGAGATCAGCAACACTGCTGTACCCAAGTGGCTTTAAACACGAACATTTCTTTAAACACAGAGGTGTCTGCTCCATCATAATACTGCTTATGCCAATTTAACGTACTACAGTCAAAAGTCCAAGATGACAGAAAGCATTTTTCTATATTGCCTTGTTTACCTCAGTGACAACACAAAAATGCAACGGACCTTAGCTAACCAGAGTAATATTTTATCCCAAGTAACACTTCAGACACCACATGGCTTCCCCTTAACCCCTAAACACACACACAAAATAACAGACACAGCCCAGAGTCTGGTGTGAGACCAAGAAAGCCAAACACAACAACACAAATTTAACTTAAGAAACTAGTCTTGGGCTTCCACAACTTCTCTCAGTAACACAAAAAAGCTTTACCACATCAGAGCTCTTGGCTTGTCATTCTTTAGTGACTGACCCCATGCACACAACATATCAAAGATTCAAGATAAAGACAAAGTACTACGTACTTGAACAGTTAAAAAAATAATGTCATTTTCTAATTTTCTATCAAATGTGTCCGGTTACTGGCCCTGGGAGAACAAGGGCACTACAGTCCACTCTAAGTTATCTTTACTGCCGGGCAGTTCCTCGGACTTGCAGAAGTACGAGGACTTCTCTGTTCTCTGACAGATAGCGCGAGATATGCACCATCTGCCCCGGCCTTGAACACTGGGGGATGTAGGCTGAGTGGGGCGCTATTGGGAGATGGGGGGCAGGACGAGCTTCTGCAACTCAGGATGGGATTTCGGTGAGCTACCTGTACTCACAGTGGAACTGAGGAAACTAGGTAGGGAGAGCCACTGGTGCCCAACGAAATCACAAATCCTTCCTTTCAGAGGTACCCCTACTCTATCTTCTTGATACAAGGTAGGTACTGTGGAAGAAACTCAACATAAAGAGTGTTGCTGTTAACTCTATGTACACACAGTAACTTATGAAATTAGGGACCTTTGTTTTGGGTAACAATTTAGAGGCCTCCTGGCAGAGAAAAAAAAATTTTTAACTTTGATGTTATGGGACTCTCAATATACAAATAATAAAATCTTCCTAAAAACCCTTTATTGAGAATAAATGTACTCCAAAGATATGAGTACACCTTAAGACACAAAGTTTCAGTTATCTCAAGTAAAAGCTTGACTCCTCGGATATTAAGTTTTCCATCTTCAAACAAGAACGTCAAAGGACAGAAGCCCTGCTGGTCCAGCTCAGACCGCCTCCCTGAAAGGAAGAGAAAAGTCAACAGTCTTTGATCCCCACCCCACCCCCTTCGATGGCAGGGTCTTGCTCTCTCAATAACACCTCTGGGGATTTAAGACACAGCACCATTCTCGGTAAGGACCCCTACCACCCTCCCGGATGCCTTGCCGAGTTACTCCCGTTGGGTAGACAACAATGACCACTCTCATCCCCCCTGAAAGCAGCTGGGCCAAGCCAGGAGTCTACTTTAGGATTTAATAATCTTAACTTGATTTCCTGGGGAGGTTCAGGTTCCTAACCGACCTACCAAATATCCTGAATACCAATTGTCACAATACAAATTATTACACAGTCTTTATAAACGCACACTGTAACAAGTGCACTTGAAGCACTCAATTGTTTGTATGTTGTAACTCCATAAACAAACAGAAGTTAAAAAGGCAGCAGGACCCTACTTAAGACCAGGATTTGGTCACCCAGCAGAAGCCTTCCTCCGGACAGAAAGGAGGGGAGAAGGGGACTGAGCTGCTCCCTCCCGCGGGGTCCAGCCCTAACCGTCGGTGCTAGGGAGGATGTGTCAACTCGCGTTCTCCTGAGGAGCTCTCCTGGCATTTCTCCGAAGTCCTCTCTTACTTCGAGGCAACGTCGTTTTGCTTTCTCGCCCACCGGTGTTCTTTGTTGAGGCGTACAGGCTACCAACCTGGAGCCGTCAGGTGCGTCCCCCTTCTCCGACTCCCCTCCCACCTTCGCGATCTGGACAGCGACACCTCCCGGGGCAGCCGCGCCTTTAAGCCACCCGCGGAACCGCTAGCCGAGTCAACTGACTGTCATGGCTTTTGGTCTACACGGTAAGCAAGTTTCATTCCTAACAGGGGAGGAACCAGGTCACAGACACCGTATTCCCCAGAAGTTTCCGAGAGACGTGCAGCGCACAAGTCACCCTCTTGGATCACTTTGCTGCTCACGGTGTCTAGTTTAGAGTGAGTCAAAGAAAGTTAGGGTTCTCCGCCCTCTCCTCAAAACCGCGGCCTTGGCACCGAGCCTGGGAAGCGCTCCTCCCCTCCCCGGCCTGACACATGCCCCTGACCGCTGCGTCTCTAACTGCGTCTTCCGAAACCACCGCATTCGAATTCGCGCTCCGCCGGCCGGGGAGGGCGTGCGCGCCCGCGGAGCACCGGGGCGAACCCGAGAGACCGCAAGCGAGGCAGGGATGGCGCGGGCGCCGTCGGAGCGGGGAAGGAGCTGAAGGCCCCCGATCACACACTCCTCGGCCGCCCCGCCCGAGCCCGGCCAGCGCGCAGCCTGCGAGACGCGCGCAGCAGGAACGCGCTGAAGTTTGCCAAGCCCGGGCCGAAGTCTCTGGAAAGTTGCAGCTCCGTCTCGGAGCGTCTCGCCTGGTCCTCGGGAGCGGGGTGTGCAGGGGGGCTATCGCCGCGGGAGCTGGAGGGGAAGAAAGCACCGGGTCCCGGCACCTGTCCGCCCCTCCCCTCCGAGCCCCACGCCCCCTCCAGGCTCGGCGAAGACTTGAGCTCCACTCGGCGGGGACGGCCCCCGAGGGTATAGCGCGCGGCTCTCTGGGGCCGCTGCATCCTCGCGCTTTTAGAGGAGGGGGCCGTGGACTCACCTGGGCGGCGGAAGAGGAGACGACAGAGGCAGGTCCTTGGCGTGGGCAGCCCCCAGCAGGACCAGCGCAGTCACCACAGCCCCCAGGCAGCTGCACCGAGTGAGCCGACCCGCCGCCGCCCCCTCCGTTCTTAAACGGCCTGGCCACGCCTCCGCCCGCTGCCCCCGCCCCTAAGCCTGCCCTCCCCGGGGAGCGAGGGGCGGGGCGGGGCGGAGCCAGCGCCCTAGGGATCCTTCCGCCTGGGCGCTGACGGCGAGGACTGGGCAAAAGGTGCCCTCTGATTGGCTCCTCGGGTGAATGGTTGCCGAGAGACGAGTAAATCTTAGGCGGCGGGAAGGGGCGGGGGGGTGCCAAAGGTAGCACTGCGCAGGCGCAATAGAGAGGGGCTGCGCCGACACCCCCTTCGCTTCGGAGTTACTGGGATACCCCTCTTTCTACTTTCCACTACGCTGTTTTCCTAACACATAACTTTTTCCCCCAAGCTTTCCCCCTCTCTATCTTGCTCCCTCGCAGGCTTGTTTTTCTTTGGCTTCTCTGGGGATTTTCGCGTTGGTTCTCTCTCTCCAGGAGTGGAGAGTGAAACCTCCACGCCTACCTTCGGCGTGTATTTTAAAGTCGGAAAAAACTTATGTTTTCTGAGCCAGGGGAACTTGCCCGATTCCCCAAGGAAATTGGCGGGAGGTCATTGGGGAAAGGGCCGGCGCAGTTGGTGCTCTGGCCGCAGTTCCCACCTGTGTGCATTTAGTGGGACTAAAGCCCTCGAATCCATCGCCAAGCCTGGCAACCGCGACAGCTTCCGCCCTCCTCGGAATGGCACAGGGCTCCGTCGTGTATGTTATATAACATGCAGGCGGGGCTTGGACGCCATCCATTCATTCCATAGCAAGCGGTATAGAGTCCAGGTTCTAAATTCACATTAACCTGAGTTGAGCTCCGAAAAGCCTTGGGCAAGTAACTTAACCAAGCCTCTATAAATCTCCATTTCCTCACTTGTATGATGGGACTAAAAATGGAACTTTGTAGGGTTATATAAGTATTAAATAATAAAATAGAAAGCTATTAGTGTAGTGCCTGATGTGTGATGTGTGGGGTAAATGTTATTTATATCAAATAATAGCTGTTGTTATTTATCAATAAACATTTATTGAGCTTTTACTGATCCTCTACTGGGTGGTGGGAAAAAAGATTACTTCCCAGATGCAATATTTCCCTACCCTGCCCTTCCATCCCTGCCTGAAGTAAGTGTGGTTCTCAGTGTCTGCCAGGATACAAAGAGTTATCAAATATATGCCTTCCTTGGGGAGGGGGAGGTCTTCTGGAACATCAGTGAGATAGGATATCAGTCTGAGTGCTGGTAGGGAAAGCCCCAGTGACTCTATTGTTGGACATGAAATCAGGATATATGGTCTAATTTTTTTTTTTACTTTTTGTGAGGTATAAATTCAGTAAAGTGCACAAAGTTTGTGTGTACAGAATGATGAATTTCTACATATGTGTACACCTGTGTAACAGCCACCCAGATCAAGATATAGAGCGTCTCCAGCTTCCTCATGCCCTTTCCCATTTAATGTCCCACAACGGTAACCACTATTCAGACCTCTATCACCATAGATTAGTTTTACCAATGTTTGAACTTGATATGGATCAGTTACATAGTATGTGCACTTTTGAATCTTGCTTCTTTCATTGAACAGTGTGTCTATGAAATTCATCCATGTTGTTAGATGTAACAATGGTTCATTCTTTTCCATTTGCTGTTTTGTTTCATTATGTAAATATTCAATAATTTATGTACTCATTCTACTAGTGGTGTTGGGTTGTATCAAGTTTTGCCTGTCATGAATGAAGCTGCTACAAATGATCTTTTTTTTCCGAGTTTTATTGAGGTACACTTGACGAATAAAAATTGTACATATTTCAAGTGTACCACATGATGTTTTGTTATACATATATGTTGTGAAATGATCACCACAACCTAGCTAATTAACATATCCATCACCTCACATAGTTACCTTTTGTGCGTGTGTGTGTGTGTGTGTGTGTGTGGTGAGATGCTTAAGATGAACTCTCTTGACAAATCTCAAGTATATAATACAGTATTATTAACTATAGTCACCATGCTGTACATTAGATCCCCAGAACTTACTCATCCCACATAACTGACCTTTGCACCCTCTGATCTACAAACATTCTTATATATATCTTTTGGTGGACATAGCATTCATTATGTTGGGTTTATACTCAGGATTGGAATTGCAGGATCATAGAGTATATACATATTAAGCTTTAAATATGTTGCCAAATGGTTTTCCAAAGTCGTATAACAACTTATACTCCGACCGGTGAAGGGACATTTCCAGTTGCTCCACCTCTTTGCCAGTATTGGTATTGTCAATCTTTTTAATTTCAAAAAGGGATGTGTATTTGTGTATTTCGTTGTGATTTAAATTGACATTTCTCTAGTAATCAATGATGTTGAGCAACTTTTCATAAGCTTATTGGCTATTTTTATACCCTTTTAGTGAAGTGTCCGTTCAAGTCTTTTGCCCGTTTTGTAGAGAATTGTCTGTCTTAATGATCTATAAGAGTTCCTTACGTATTCTGGATATGAGTCCTTTGTCCAATATATGAATTACAAATATCTTCTCCTAATCTGTGGCTTTCTCTTCATTCTCTTAATGATATCTTTTGATGAACAGAAATTCTTAGTTTTAAAAAAGTCTAATTTATTAATCTTCTCTTTTATGACTTTATTATTTTAAATATTATTATGATGGCTATTAATTTTATCTTTTTTATGTCCTGTTTAAGAAATCTTTGCCCAGCCTAAGGCCAAAGAGGTCATCTCCTTTGTTTTCTTCTAGGAACTTCGTTGTTTTAACCTTCACATTTGGATCTAGGATTCATCTCAAATTAACTTCTTGTGCAGTTTGGGGTCAAGATTTATTTTTTCCCATATGGACATCCAATTAGTTCAGCACCATTGGCAAGTAGTTTTGTTGAAAGAATGAATATTTGTTGAATGAAAAACTCAGTTAAGAGAACAAGGTGACTGGTCACTTAAAATCCAGATTGTCCAGAAAAATCCAAGACACACGATCACAATAAAATTAATGCAAATTATATTACTTTGGCTCTTGGACCCTTTCTACTTTTTCAGTACCTCATGGATACCATTAGCACACGTAGCCTGGGGGTAGAACACAGGTCAGAAATTCTTACCTAGAATTTGATCTAGCATGGTTTGGTTCTACCTTTGCTTAGGTAAAATTTTGTTCGGCGTCCTGACCATAAGGTAATTTTGTGGTTGGGAGAAGGGGAGAGCCAAGAAGCAGAAAAGAGATTCATTATTTATATATGTGTATATAGTTTTCTTGGGCCCCTGTTTATTCCTGGGGCATTACTTGACTTTTCTAGAATTTTATTTCTATTTTTCTGTTTGTTTCTTAGAATACACAGTGTTCTTTCTACCTCATGAGACAATGGCATCTTGGAGCTGGAAGGAGTCTTAGGAAGTCGCCAGGTACTGCCCATTGGACGTGGAAGCAGATATTGAGACTGTCCTTCCAAGATTATTGGAGACTCCTTCTTGCCAAATTCCAGCCTCTGCTGGCACATATCCAATCAAAATGGTTTAAAGACCTTTGCACTCTGAGTGATTCACTCATCTGCACCTAGGAAAGCTGAGGACTGGAAACCAGAGGGAGGAAATAGTCTTTAAAATGCAGGCCTCTCTTGTGGCCATGACCCTGATAAAGTTTTATGTCTCAATAGAATCTTATTTTAAATACTTAGCGAAGCAAAGAAATTCTATCACTAATCCTTTTTGTAAGGCAAGAAAACCTTTTGTATAGTGCCCAGTTATCCTTGTTTATCACTTTAAGTCTTGAGTTTTTTTATTACTTTATCTCAAGGTGGATCGTCATGGTAAATGTTTATTCAAATGCCCTCCTCTAAATATCTTATCTTTCTTAAGATGGTTTTTAAGCAAAGTTTTTATTGATGTATATTGACGTATAGAGAAGTGCACAGATCATAAGCACACAGCTCGATGAATTTTCACAGCGTGAACAAACCTGTGTCACTGGCACACAAACAAAGGAGCCCCACAGGACTTGTGGCTCTATTTTAAAACCCCCACAGGGACATTGTCACATCCCTGTGAGCCTCTGGTGGGGCCGAGGCATGACTTGGCTTTCCACTTCCCTCCTAGAGCTCTCACCAGTAAATCTCAGTCTCTTCTCCGGCTTCTTCAGGCCAATATTTTTCTGGGGTGTCGCAGAAAGAGAAGTAGGTTTAGAGTAAGAGGGTGTAAGTTTTATTTGGAGCAAAGCACAGGAGAGATGGACTTAAGACTGGTCAGATTTAATGGGGCAGGGAGGAGGGAGTGGGCTGCACCTGTGGGCACGGCTATGGCAGCAAGCTTGAGCATAGCATGGCAGTGGAGGCACTGGGGCAGGGGGGGCAGCATGAGGGAGTAAGATAGGGGGCCTAGAAGGGGAGAAGGGGTGATGGTGGCGCTCCAGACAAAGGAGTATGCCAAAGATGAACAGTGCTGACTTTAACCCTCTGAGCTTGTGTCTCTAGACACCCTTCCTGCCCACCTCCCTAACAGTGTCACTGGAGAAAGGAAGTAGGGTTTAGTCAAATGGCTTTTATCCCTATCAAATGGCTTAACCTCTCTGAGTCTTGGCTTCCTAATCTGAAAATGGGAGTGATAATTAGCCTCACTGCTTCATGGAAGTGTGTGCTGATCAGATGAGGTGGCGAATGCCTGTGAAAGCGGTTGTCTGTTCACAAGAGTTATCTCTTTGCCAACCTTGGGCCCTTTTCTCACTTTACTGTCAGGACAGCTTGGCAAGTCAAATGAGAGCAGAGGAGGGTAAATTCTAACACCTTGCTGTGGCTACCTTCACTTCACTTCTGGAGCCCCAGATTTCTTATCTGAGGATTAATGTTTTCAAATCTCCCTTCAGGGAAAAGGGATTCCAGGAAAGTGTAAATTGTTAACTGATCGCTTCATATCTCATGACCAACCACTGGGTCCACTCTGAACCTGCCTTACCTT